AGCTTTCACTGGTTCCACACAATTAGAGACCTGTCTCCAGAAAAGAACCCAGCTGCCTGTGTGGTCCACCTTCCCATTGGCTTCGATGGGGGATTAACCAGGTGTTGCTGGGGAAACCTATCTTCTTCTGGAAGACTGGCAGCTGCTGTAAGAGTGTCTAACTAGCCAGGAGAGTAACCACTGTTTTTGAAAGTTCTATAAGGGACAGTTAAAGATTAAGCTGCCAGGCCAGGGAGATAGCTCAGCAACACATGCACCTGCCTGACAAGCTCAAGGTCCTGAATTCAATCCCTGGTTCAAAAAAACCAAAATAAAACAAGAAGATTAAGTTGTCTAAAACCCTGTCAAAAGATTATTACCTAGCATTTCGTATCAGAGTCCACTAGGGGATGCTCTGATGTTCCTTTCCCTAGTCCTGCTGTCTAACGTAACAACAGCAGTTGACCAGGTCAGGCGAGGAACATGAGTGAATTCAGCAACAGGTTAAGTCCAGATGCAGCGTCTACAAGGCAGGAACAGAAGATCTTTCCTGGAAAAGCAAATTGTCCCACTGAAGAAACACTACAGTCATCCATGTTCTCAACATTTACTAACATTTCACAAAAGACAATGTGCAAAAGAGACAAGGTGTAAAAATTTAAGGCATAAGCAATGGGAAAACAAGGATTACAGTTTTTAGTTACATGAACAAGACACAAACCAGAATGCATGAAACAAAATCAAACTCTTATCTCCTTCCAGTTATCTTGATGGAGCCTCCAAGAATTATAGAAGACCACTAAATGATATAAAGGAAATCCTGTAACTCTCACCCTGTTAGATGTCAGATATACTGAGTTCGTGCTCCCCCGAATAGAAGAATGAATTCTAAGGAAGAATGGAGGTTAAGCGTAGGAAATATCTATTGAAGGGGAGAGACCCAACTCCTGAGAAAAAGAGGGCCCCCGAGTGGGTTGCTTCAGACCCCACTTTATGGCAGAACTTTTATAGAGCAAAACACAAGGTGGGTACAAGGTTCAAAACTGTAATCAACTAGTAAGATTATAAGGATAGCCACTTAGGCTATGTTGATCCAGTGGGGAAGCAAGTCACAGAGCGGGTGCACAGGGAAGGAACAAAGAACTCCTCAGGAACTGGTGGGTCTCAGTGTGGTAGTCACTCAGCGAGGCGCCCAGTCCTATCGAGACTATTGGGCAGGGCGTTCCTCCTTGTCCCTGGGGATCCATGTGAGCCTGGTCTTCTGTCTTTATCTTGAGGCCCGAGTCTGCCCTGGATGTGCCTCCGCCACAGATGTAATGTGTTTTTATCTTTTGTGTTGACTCTCGTGCCCTCTAGCCCTGTCGAACTGTGTCTGAGTTACTTTCCTCTTGTTGCTGGGATGAAATATCCAACACCCAAAGTAAAGGAAGAAAGGGTTATTTAGCCCACAGTTTGTAGAGGATTTAGCCCATACTTGGCTGGCTCCAAGGCAGGGTGGCTTGATAGAGGGCTACTGCAGAGGAGAGTAGCTCATGGTGGCCACAGATCACAGAGCCACACAGAAGACACACAAGAGCATTTCAGTCCCCTACACTGTGTGCAGGCTGCCCGCCCTAGGACGTGAGCATTCACACCCCTAATCCTAGCCAGAACTAATCCAAAGCAATCAGTGGGCTGATATGCTAGTCACGCCCCTAGTCCCAGCATCGTACACTCTAGACTCAGCCATCTGCAACAGCGCTATGGCGGCATGGTGCTTTGGGGGGACAGCTAGACAAAGGGCAACAGGCTGTCTCGAAGAGTTTTACCTTAGATTGGGCATGTAACCCCAGCTCTTGGGAGGCTGTAAATAGGTGGATCTCTACGAGCTTTAGTAGTGAGACCCTGAGCACCCTGTAGACTCTTCCCTAAAATTAAAAAAAAAAAGTTTTACCTAACTCAACTGTCTGTAATACCTGCATCGTTAGGGATGAATCTCAACAACACAGAGTGAGAGAAGCTAGGACAAAAGCACACAGCCCAGCCAGGGCGCCTGTCATGCTGTCCTGTTTCCATGTCGGAGCAGGAGTGTGAGCGCAGCGGAGGTGTGGAGCTGGCCCTGCGCAGGACTGCAGATGGGCACACGGACGCTTCTGGACCACGCGGCACCGCCTTGGTTGCACCAATGCTTCCACCGGTGCCTGCGTACAGCGAAACATGACAAGCTATAAACTGTATGTGTAGTTTATTGTGTGTTTGATATCAGTTGCTGAACAAAAGCTGCTGTGTAGGCCCTAATCACAGGAGGCTCCAACTCCACGACCTCCCAATCCGAAGACTTCAGAGCCAGAGCCTTGCTTGAGGTGAAGGCGTGGTGTATGCTGACATTGATTTTGCTGGCTACCTCAGGAAGGTAAAACAGGTTTAAATTTGTATGCACCTTATAACATAGCTTCCCAGTGTATAAAATAAAACAGTTTGGCAGAAGTGTAAGGAGGAAGCAAATAAATCTCCTCTTGTAGCATCTCTTGATTATTGATACCTCATAAGCAGATGAAAAAAAAAAAGGATGTATGGCAGCCCTGAACAACGCTGTTGGTTACTGTTTAGCAGACTCCCGTGGAGCACTGTGTCCAACCAGGACCTCCAGAGCATGCCCCCTTAATACATGCCGATGCACTGAGTCGTTCCTACACAACTTGGTGTGTTCCAGATGCTGAAGGGGCTGCCATAGGTATTTAGTCTTACTAACCTTAACAAAGGGGGCATCGGGGTGGCAGAAGCCGGGCGCACTGCCGCAGGCCACAGGGCAAGGGGCAGAGTGCGCACCCTATCTGGACGGACTGGCCCCCGGGATCTGGATCTGTGTCGGCACCAACTCCGTGGATGTGGAAGTAGATTGCGGTCTGCTGCAAAAATTAAATCTCAACCAGTTTTAAAAATCGGCATTGTATAAGTCACATTCCTTTATAGCACAATTAAGCTACAAAGTAATAACCAACAAATGCTAAAAAGACAAGAGAAATGAACCACTTGTGTTTGCAGATTTAAAACCACACTGATACGTAAGCTGTGATCCAGGCATGGAAGCCCTAAAGGACCGCGTCTGTCTCAGAAGTGGGCGAGAACAACGAGCCACGCAGCTGTGGAGGGCAGCTAGCGTGTGACTGTGGGGAGAGGGGCAGGACGTGAAGAAGGGCCGTGCAGTACTGAGCAAGGCACCTGTCTCAAATCAGGCAGATAACTAGGAAACACTAAGTGGGGCTACTGTGGTTTTGCATGCTTGAAGATAGCCAATAAGGAAATGGAAGGAGATGTCGGTACCAGAAAGGCGGTAACGAAGAGCAGCAGCAAAGAGGTCCTGACGCCGCGGTCAGCACCAGACGCTGGGTATCCTGGAGGGCTGAGGGAATTAGCCAGCCTGTGGCATGATGAACAAGCTGAGGTGAGGGCACGTAAAGGTGACATTAGGAAGCCCACGTAGGACAGTACTACAAGTGCAGTGGATATTTAAGGAAACAATATTGTGAACAAATTCAAAAATTTAGATGAACACTTCCTGGAAAAATAAAATTGTCGCAAGCTGAGTAAGTCAGGCCCTTTCTGTCTTACAGGAGCTCTCCAGCAGCACCCGGGGACACCTGTCCCAACCCTGGCTGTGCACATGGGGCAGAGGGCCAGTGGCAGTGGTTGGAGCAGGGAGGTTGAGAGCGGGTCTCACAGCTGCATGGGCGGACACAGGGCCCGCTCTGGGCCGCCTGCGTGTATTCCAGCAACTACGCTGCGTGCCGTGTGTGGGCGGCCCTGTGAGGTCGTTCGACGCGAGTCGTGGCCACCTGTGCTAAGGACACTGGTGAATTAGGTGTGGAAGGAAACCTGCGGTGGGCATCTACAAAGGCTTGGCGCTCCACCACTGTCCAGGGCGAAATGTCGAAACCGGCTGGCCCCTTGGCAGTAGGGAAGCAGAGGGCAGGGCAGCGCCAGACAGTGGTGGAGCAAGGTGAAGACAGGCTTGTGGCTCATTGCCAGCCGCCAGGCAGCCTTCCTGCCTGCCGTGAGCTCCTGGCCCTACGTCACTGGTCATGTCCCATGCCCGTCCCGCTGGTCCGCTTGTAGCCTAGGGTTCCCTACTGGCTGCCCGCTGCTCTCCGCTGCTCTCTGTCCTTGCGGTTGCAGCGCTGATACCTGGCCCAGACCACTGGGCCACATCTGAGTTCCACAGCACTTCCCATGTTGTCCTGTGGGTGTCTCAGTCCTGGTGTGTCCGAGGAACACGTCGCCATCTTTCCCCAGCACACTTTCTCCTGCCATCTTCTGCAGACCTTCCCTCCGTTTGGGAAATGGAAAGCTGATCCTTCTAGTCACTGGGGTCAAACCGCTGGTGCTGTCCTGGTGCCCCTTTCCCTTGGACCCCAGGGCTCACTTGGCTTTGTGTCTTCAAGGCTTAGCCTTTCCTGATGCCTCTAGAATTTGCTCTCTCCCAAGCTTTCTGCCCTTGCCCAGCCCACATCACTGACACCTCAGCCTGTCTGTCCCCCAGCCATCCCTCCTCACCAGCTCTGTGCCCTGTCTGTTCCCAGAGGACCTTTCGAAGCCTGCCTCTGGCGTCCCTCAGAGCTCTGCAGGCCAGGAGCCCGACGGTCTGTCCCCACACAGTGTGTAGATCAGGAGAAGGCAGAGGGCGAGCATATCCAGTGGTGGGAGGGACAGTGGTGACCCCAGCGCCTCTGACCGCACTGCCTCCCTCCATACTTGGCCAGCTGGTGCTCCCAGAGTTCTGTCTGCGTCCCCGCTGGCTGCCGTCTGCACCCCGCAAGCAGCCCACAGCTGCTTCCTGTGGCTTCAGTGAAGCCTGCACTTGCTGCCTGTTTATCAGGCTCTGGTACTGAGGCACACATGGTGTTCATTTTCATGGGATGTGAACTTTGCAATGAAGTGGTTCAGTAAGGGCGAGTAGGTCGCCAGCCCATCTCCCCAGCCCAGGCTGCAGGACGGCTTGGGCAGGCTTGCATTAACGTTCTCTCACCTGTTTTCTCTTCCAGTCGGAACCTGAGGGCTTTTCTCATTTCCACTTGTACGTTTGCGCTGCTTTCCTCGTGAGATGGAGGAAAGAAATACTAGAAGAAAGAGATTTTCAAGTAAGTACACATCTTTCCAGAAGAGCCTAGGTTGATTTTCTGCTGGGAGAGGTTTATTGTGCTTGTGGGAGGTCGGGGGTGCTTGCTGTGCCCCGCTGCCAGGCAGTGCCCAGCTGGTGACCCTGTGGGGCCGTGTGACTCCAGCACGAGGTCGCATCCACCTCATGGCGTCTCTCTGGGATGTGCTGGGCCTTGCTGGTAAGGCATGCACATCTCGGAGCTGCACAACTCGGAAATGTTAACCCCTCTGAGCCAGTCTCCATCCTGACTGGGCACCCTGGAGTGCACATCTGGCCAGCTGCTGTGCTGCACATGTAGACTGGGTCCCCCGCCCCTGGCAGAGCCTTGAGCACCAGCTCGCACCTCTCATGAATGACAGCTGCCACAGCGTAAGCTGTGGACAGGGAGTCTTTCTGCCTGTGGCCGCCCAGCAGGGGTGGGGCAGGCTGGGGTCCAGCAGTGGGGAAGCCAGCACTGCAGGTACTGGGCTCCTCCCTGGTGGGCAGGTGTCCTGCCTCCACCTTGCCCATGGGCCCAATTCTCAGGTGAAGTGATGGGCTGGGTGGCCCTGAGTCCACAGTGATGGCTCACTGGTTTCCTTGCCCCTCAGTCCTGTGCGCCAAGCAACCTGTTCTCTCTGAGGGCCGAGGGAAGAGCCAGGAGGTTCTGTTGCTCCCCTGTAGTGAACATTGCTGCCCCAGGAGGGCTGAGCAGGCCAAGGCTTGTGTAGGCCCAAAGCTGACACCCTTGGTGCTTCTGGTGGAGAGGAGGTCATCTTTGTTCCTTGCAGAGCTGCCTTGTCATCGGCAGGGGCTCCTGTGCCCTTCAGGGAGCCTCGCGGGCCAGCACTGCTCCTGCCTTGTTGCACAGGTGGCAGGGACCCCTGGAAGCGTGGAGGCCCTGAGAGACACCTGACAGGCCCCAGTGCCCACAGTTGGACACACGGGCTCCCTGCTCCCTCTTGCCTTCTCCTGTATATGCTTTCTCATCCCCAGAGGGCGCTGTAGAGTGAGACTGCCCAAGTGCCCCCTGGCCAGAGACTGTTACCAGCTTCTGCAAAGCCTAGTGGTCAGGCCGGGGAGATAGCTCAGTAGAATAAGTGCAAGGCCCTGCGTTCAATCCCCAGTACTACAAAAAAAAAAAAAAAAAGCCTAGTGGCTACTCAGTGTGACAGTGGCCTCCTCCACATTGGCTTCTATGGGACTGCACACGCTCTGTTCCTCCACTGACTCCTGGGAGACTCTAGGAGCTGTTATTCTCGATCCTCTTTCCTGCTGGCCCCAGCATCATTCCCTCCTTGCCCTCAGCTTCCTACAGCCTGTGTCCAGCCTATCTGGGCCTGGAGCTGGAGCTCATACTGTCCCATGCATGCCTGCATTCGTAGGTCCATGCCACCCCAGGAGTCCCTGCGATCCACTCCAGGCAGACCTGGGCCATGCTCCAGCATGGCGACCACATGCTCGTGGGAAAGCCGTGAGCGCAGTGAAGAGGCAACGGTGATGGAGAAGGACGGGGCGAGGCAGCCTTCGTCCAGGTCTGGACATGGTGCATCTGTGGCCCTCTGTTTCCTTCAGTGTGAGAGGGCTGATGCTGGAGAAGCAGCCCAGGAGAGCCTGAGGCAGCCGCCTCCTCTGTCGGAGAGCTCACATTCTCTTTGCAGCAGCCCAAGGGTGGTGTTAAGCCGCGGTGTGGTGAGAAGTACCTTACCTGACCACAGTGTTTTCCTCTGGAAACGTAGAGTGCGCTCCGTGCTGACCTGCTCTGACCGCAACTGCTGTGAAACAGTTTGATCAGTATAGAGTCACTCAAGCTAGGCAACGCTGAAAAAGAACAGCAAGTGGCCTTAAGCAGGGGCTGCAGCTCTGTCACGCCTCCTCTGGTCCCGCCTCACAAGGTGGTGTGGGGCACACTGGCCTCACACTGGCCACAGAGCCCCACGACCCCTGTTCTTGTGAGCAGCTGTGTAGCACTGTCACACTGCCTGGGCACACATCACAGCTAGGATTCCCTTAGGGGCACAGGACACAGGTGGAGCATCTGATGAGCTGGGAGCAGTGCTGGGTCAGCTGGACTCTGCAGCACAGGGTGGCTTGTGGGACTCACTGCAGCCTGGGAGGGCAGGGATGCGGTGCCCACCTCACCCTGCACAGGCTGCCGTGTCCATCACATGCTTGTGTGAAGTGCTGCACACTCCATGGGTTATAGTGAGAAGGTGCACACCAGGCGGGTCCCTAAGGTGCCTTGCCAGGCCCAGATGTGATGGCAGGGCCTACAAGTCCAAGCACTGCATGGGCTGGAGACAGCGGGATCTCAAGTTCAAGCCTGGCCCAGGGAACATAGCAGCTTAGTGAGACCTTGCCTCAAATAAAGAAAAAGAGTCTGGGGATGTAGTTCAGCAAGAAAGCCCTGGGGTTAGGCCCCTGGTCTCGCCAGCCCTCTCTGAGGTTCAGGGAGTGGGGCACAGAGCCCCTAAGCCCCAGCTTTCCCCACACGCATAGGGGCGCTACAGGCTGATCCCCCTCTGAGCGCAAACCGAGCTAAATGAGTGCTTTTCTTTCGTGTCATGGGGGCTGGATGGAAAGCACGTGTAGAACCTAGCATGTTGTGTCGAATTGGACTAGATGGAAGGGAAATGGGAAGAGAAAACAAATTAAATACTGCAGCTGAGGCGTCCTGGTGAGCGTGCGTAATTGCTTTCAGTTGTGACATTTTAAGAAGACGCTTTTGTGCCCACGGCAGGTGGGCAGGATGGGTGAGCCCTGGGCACGCGTCTCAGCCGCAGGACATGCCAGAAGGAGTGAAGGCCCTTGGTGGGTGCGCCGCTGCTCTGCCTGGTGGCTGTGGGCCACAGCGGGGTTGTGTGCAGTCTGGTGGGCTGGGCTGGGGCACCGAGGCGCGGACTTTCTGAGGTAGATGCTTCCAAGGTGGATGTGGTCAGGCGGGTGCTGCAGGCGGCACGGCCCACAGGGTTGTCTCTGGTGCTGGGTGAGGCGCCTGAAGGAGCCCACTTGGAAGTTGGGTTGGATCTTTTCTGTCTCTGAAACACGAATTTTAAACTGCGTCAACTGTAGGGAAATGAAACAAAGCCAGGCAGGACACACTCTTGACCAGCTCCCGGCTAGGCAGGGGCGTGGGCAGCATGAGTCTGCCAGGCAGGGAGGTGCCCGGGAGTTCTGGGTGGGACCTAGCTGTGGGATGGAGAGCACACCTTCTTCCTAGTATTTATAGGATATTTGAAAATAATTAACCCTCCCAGCATCAGCCGAGCAGTTGTGGCACGGGCTGCCTTCCCTGAGCAGAAGCCTGTAGAGTCAGGGAATGCCGGGGACAGCTGAGTGGCCGAGCAGCTGCACGCTGCGGGCCCCCTCCCACTACAGCCGGAAGAGGCAGAAATGGTGCTGTGGGTCGGGAGGTGCCTGGACGCAGGAGACGGGGCAATGCTGGCCTCGGACACCCCAAAGCGAAATGCTTGAAACGTTTCTCCAAGAAATCAACGATGCCTTGAACTCCCGAAGTTAAAATAGGGAAAAATGAAGTCAGTGTCTGATAGAGACAACACATGAGTCAGTGCAAATAAGGCGCGGGACAGTGAGCTGCTGTGTGGTCCCCTGACCGCTGCCAGGTGCAGGTACAGCGCTGATGCAGGCAGACCTCGCTCGGGTGGCAGGGCCAGGCGAGAGGCCGGCAGACACAGGCCTCTGCAGCCGGCCACACAGGAGCTGTGTATTTCGGGAGGATATGGAGCATGCAGGTTGTGTAAGATAAGGCTCTTAAGAAGCCCCCAACCTGAGCGGACCAGTGTTTCATCTGGGCATAGGTGTATGCCGACGCCGCACTCTTGAGGCCGGCAGGCGTCTCTGTGGTGAGCTGTCTCCATTCTCGCACTCTTGCTCAGACAGAAATGGAGAACCTGGCGTCTTTGCACGCTTCCCAGAGCTGAAGTCCTGTCGAGGAGTCCTGGCCTTGGCTGCCTTTGGCTTCCATCCCCCTGCTGTCGCAAAGTAACTGAGGCTGATAACTCCTAAATAATAGAAATGTGTTGCTCATGGTTTAAGGCTTGGTGGGAACTGAGCCAGCAGAACTGGGCGTGTAGGTCCTCGCCTGTCCCACGCTTCGTCCTGAATAAAGTAGCAAGGAAGGTGGCTCCCTGGGTGCCCTGGCCGGGCTCACCTCCCACCCACCTGCAGCGGCGTTTATGTCTGTCACTGCAGTGCCCTGCCTGGGCTAAAATCTTCCTTTCACCTGTGGAGAGCCCCAGCACCTGGGTATTGACAGTGGTGGCTCACTGGGCAGTTTAGGGACTCCAAAGACCCTCTGTCCCCAGCAGGGTGGATCTTGGGCCGTCAGTCTGATAAAATCAGGTCTGCCCTCTGTCCCACAGAGAGCCGGCTACTAGGGCAGAGCCATCACTGTCCTGATTCACACACTGGGCCCCACTGGTCTTCTTGGGGTGTCCTGCCTGCTGGGCCACCGAACGTGCCTCAGCCCTGTGTGTCCTTCTCTGTCTCGGGCTGTGTGGCTCTGCCGAGGGCGCTGTGCGTGGTGCTCCTGCACAGGCTTGTATTCTGTCCTGTGCTCATGCGAGGCAGCCAGTGTCATGAATGCAAGGAAGGAGTCACTTGTCTCCCACTTTACCACTTCAGGACAGTATAAAGACAAAATTGAGTCCATTGAAAGCTCTCTTCAGAGAGGGTTGTTGTGCCCTCCTGGGAGACTTGTGTCTGAGTGTGGCTAGACAGCGTGCAGTGGAGCTCGGGGCTCACGTGGCAGTGCTGTGGGGTCTGCAAGGCCCTGTGGTGCATTAGCCACTTGAACTGTTCTTAAAGAGGACTCCTGGGGCCCCCAGCTCCCGCTGTGTTCCAGGTGACGTCACAAAGCTCCCTGGGAGAGGAGGCTGTCCACAGGGTCTGGGCCCTCACAGGTTGGGGAGGGTTGCGCATGCACTGTGCAAGGGCCCTGGCCTTTCATAGGTGGCAGGCAGATGACGGACAAGGGTGACA